CTGATAACTTTGGCTTTGCCATTTCACTTGTAGACAGTGGGTCAATTCAGTCATGACAGTTTAGTTGTTGCTAGCTGATAACTTTGGCTTTGCCATTTCACTTGTAGACAGTGGGTCAATTTAGCCATGACAGTTTAGTTGTTGCTTGCCGATAACTTTAGCTTTACCATTTCACTTGTAGACAGTGGGTCAATTCAGCCATGCAATTTCACTTGTAACCAGCAGGTGATCTGAAACATGATTCCAGATGTAACTAGGAGGTGACTTGGTCCATGGCAATTCGGTTGTCCTTAGAGGGGAAGGGGGTTGACTATACCACGACAGTTTAGTTGTACTTGGGGGGTTGACTATACCATGACAGTTCAGTTGTACTTGGGCGGTTTACTATACCATGACTGTTCAGTTGTAGCATGTTTGTTGTTAAGAGCAAAGCTACAAAATCGACTATCTGTACTGTGCCTCCATAGGTATCGAAACCCCGTTTTTAGCAGTATAAGTCTTCAGACTTACCACTAAGCCACTGAGGGACAACTTGTAATTAGCAGAAGATTTAACTTGCGACAGTTTGGTTGTAACTGGTGGGTGGTTTGACCCATGACAGTTTAGTTGCAGCTGGTAGGTGACTGGACTGAGGATTAGAAGGTTCAACCCTGCAATATGCCATGATTATGCTCCATGCTTTTAATTGTGATCATGTTATAAAAGTCACAAATAGTCCTGTTTTTTGGTTAAGAGCACCTGTGTATATGAGGGTTGCTGCCTTTTGTTTGCCCTCCTTCTTATCAGTAGATAAAAGTTATGGATGGCTATACCTGATTCTTGAACTCTCTGACACTCTCTCAAAATTTCTTCTCTGAACCTTGTTGTGGAAGAAGCTTTGTCACATGTACCTCGTTGTGGAAGTAGCTTTATCACATGTATCTTGTTGTGGAAGTAGCGTTGTCACATGTACCTTCTTGTGGAAGTAGCTTTGTCACATGTACTTCGTTGTGGAAGTAGCTTTGTCACATGTACCTCGTTGTGGAAGTAGCTTTGTCACGTGTACCTCGTTGTGCGGGAATCTTCTCTGTTCGTATGGTAACATTCGTTAATGAAACCAAAGTAACTTAGCAGGCTGAGAAACGTACCATTCAACGAAGCTTAAACAATCAGAATTCAACCTAACATAAAAACTACTTAATTTTCGTAAGGTTACGTATGCTATTTTGTTTATCTATTGTTGCTTTCAATAATAATATTAGTTAGTTTATCATATTTACTTATCTTTTATTCTTATACTTTTATTGTACCGACTATTTTGCATTGTTAGCTTAAAATTTGTATTTAGGACTAACAAAAAACATTCCTAGCTTGCCGAACTTTGTGATATATTGCTGGGTTTACGACCGAAAATACTGTTAACACGAGGGTATCCAACCGATGAAAGAATACATGATAATTTTTATAAGTACAAACGTAAGAAACTTATACTTAATTAGTTATACCGATAGCCAGGTATAACTAGGTACACAGCATACTCCGGTTGCAAAATATTATAACTATTTTTAGTGAAGCCGAAGCAATTTAGTTAACTCGGACACTTAACCATACAACGAGATTTAAGCCCCTACAACAAGTAGGCTGTAACATGGCATACAAAACTGTACTGAAAAAGGGAGTTTTCGTTTAATGGTCGTTGTTGATGTTTTAGTCTGAACGTAGGATATGCGAGTCTCAAGAACATATGGTCAGTTATGTAGCATGTTCAGTTGAAAATTGAATACGTAGCTGTTAAATGTAGAAAGATCTGTAAAAGTGTAACAAGCACATGAAATTTAATCTTCTATCTTACGCTTTGGTTTGTTTGTTAATTAGCACAAAGCTACACAATTGGGTATTTGTGCTGTATCCATAGCTAGTATCGAAACCCAGTTTTTAGCTTTATAAGCCAACAGACTTAACGCTGAATCACCAGAGACATATATCTTGTGAAATAACTCATTTGGCACCTGTGGTACGTAATACAGTCTGTCTTAAAATTAATTGATACAATACATACGCGTAGAAATTAACTTTGTATACTTATTTTTTGATACTTCATATATTACTCACTTAGCACACTTAAACACTATGTTCTGTCCTTTATTTTAGACTGTTCATGTTATTTTAACTGCACTGACTCTAACACGTATAGCCAAGTGGTTAGGCCACTCGTCTCGCATTCTGACAGTCGCGGGTTCGAATCCCTGTCACACCAAATATGCTCGCCCTTTCAGCCGTGGGGGCGTTATAATTTGACGGTCAATCCCACTATTCGTTAGTAAAAGTTGGCGGTGATGACTAGCTCCCTTCCCTCTAGTCTTACACTGCTAAATTAGGCGCAGATAACCCTCGTGTAGCTTTGCGCGAAATTCAAAACAAACAGTCCTTCTAGTCTATCACTTGTGTTATTATTAATACTTGTGTACACCGTCCATCTGTTACTTGCATTATTGTTGAACTCACATTACTAGAATAATGCTACACAACGGGTTTTGTGCAGTGCCACCACTGATATCGAAGTCCTATTGTTATACATCTGAACTTACCACTGAGCCATTAGGAAGTGGGGGAGGGCAAAAATGTTTAATGATTTTTTGTAAACCAATTTGATAAAACTTTTATATACATAGATATGATGTAGTTTTAGGATTAATGTATTTGTAGTGTAGAATTTTACATTTAAAATAAATAAACCCGCTACTTGCAAGACCCAATTTTTGTTTGCAACTGTTACGTTGTCGGAAAAATAATAAGGTTATGTTATACGTTATTATAAAATAAATTATATAATGTAACTTCTTCTCAAAAACATTATTTTTGTGTAATTTTTAGTTATTTTATTATTGAACACATAATTGACTGAAATAAATTCACACTGAATTTCCTATTTTAATACTCGCAAAACATATATATGGTTGGTGTGTTTTATTTTGTTTTTTGAACGCAAGAGGGCAGTTACAGGCAGCGTGAAAAGTTCGTTGCTAGGATACAGTTGTAACAACTCAAAATCTGAAACTAAGCTTATTTTTATAGCTTGTGAACAGAACTTTGCTGGACTTAAACATAAATCTGAGCTATATCTTTCTTTACGTAGTACTCTTTTGTAAATATGCTAATGTATCGTTGCTTGGAATGTGTTCTAACTTAAGCATATTATTATTAATATTAAATCTTAGACCTTGGCAACTTTCCTTTGCAGCATAAGCCATAACGATATATTCTTTAGTTTAGGCTACCTAAATGTTATTGTTAAGCGTAAAACTAAGAGCATTATCATCAGTGGTAAACATTTAGTTCAAAATTAGAATAAACGTGTAATTCAAGCTTTTTTGCCACAAATCGGGAAGGTTAACGTATTTCTAAGATATTGGCGTGCAATAAGTATGTTCTACGAAAAACAAACGGACCACCATTCACCAGCAGAATGGGCAGCTAACAATGATTCTATAGCATTGGCAACAAAACAAGTAACTTCATCATCACATAATCTCAGAAAACAAAGTCAGTACCTGCAAAATGAATCTAAAAACAGAATTTCATGGAAAAACCAGGTAAATATAGGGTAGTATTAGTATTACTAGAAAAATGTGTTCTGTGCCCTTAGTTTTATAGAATTAGGCCTATGGAAAATTCTACCAGGCTCTAAACTTAAATTTTTAGGTATAGTGAAATTAATAATATTTCGTTTAATTTAATAATTATAATCCCAAAATTAAATTTTCAGTTACAGGTAGATTGTATGTGACACAATACTAATAGTAATAAAGAATATTTTTATGGATTGTAAACAGACCTCCTAGGGCATATTCATAACCAAAGTGTGTAAATATAAAAAGAAAAAAAAACAATTATATTATGTGTATATGGCTCATGCTTTAGACTAATTATGTAGCCTGCTTCCAGTGTTTTAATTTTCAAAAGTGAAACTAATTAATTGTTGTCATGGTTAGTATAGCCAAAATTCTAATTATTGATTAGTTATTAATATATTTTGACCTACTAGTTTTTATCTCGTTTGCTAGTCTGCTGCTATCTTCAGAGAACTTCTGTTATGGTATTTCTGTAGTGGTGATGGTGGCCAGGATACAGTAGAGATTAGGAACTTGTTACATTACACACATTAGGAGGTGAATGAATTTATTTTATTGCTTTCAAGAGAGATATCTAGGATTTGCTGACCAAGCGTGTTATCAATTAGGTGGACATATAAGGTTTCTTTTATCTATTTTTCTTGTGTGTGGTTCATATCCCATTCTGTTATTAATATTATTGTCTGGTATTTTACTCTGGTGTGATTGGCTATGGCTGATAGATTAGTGTTACACAGTCTTGATATCTTTTATAGTAATCAATTCTAGGTTTTGTTGGTCTTTTTGTTTTCTAATATATTGGAGTGTACATTCATGTGGCAATTGTTTTTGCTTTTCCACTAACCATGATAATGACTGGTACCTGATTGCCACAACTTTACAGTAAGTAGTAAATTAATTTATTTAAAGGTCTTAACTTTTATGTTGTTAAGTTAATCATTAGTAAAAGTAATCTAGTTTGTATTTTTTAAGTTTTCAGAAATTTATGGCATTCTTAAACTTAATTGCTCTGCTGTGATTTAACACATCAATAAGTAAATAAGTTCCAAATTTCTACTTCAAGATGTTAATTTATTCACTGTACAATCTTCTTTCAAAGGAAACAAATCTAGCTCTGTCAGAACGTGTGCTGGACATCAAACTATGGCATAAAACATTAGAAGATACCTTGAGAAGTATAGAAGAAGAAATGTCTGCTTTGTTGGAAACTAAAACTGCTTTAGAAAATGCTTTAATGAAGAAGGTTCCTCTTTTGGAAGCAACAAAGATGTGTTTGATGTTGAAAGACAGGAGGACTGATGTTGATATAGTGGAAGATGACCAGTATCACCAAATGAAAAAGGTTTATTATGTAAAGTTGTAAGCAGTGTATTTAACTTTATTAGTTTCAAGTCTACACTGAACAAACATATGATTTGTAGCGTAAGACTTTTTAAGCAGTCTGTTTAGATTTATTAGTTTGAAGTCTAGGCTAAAAAAGCATATGATCTGTAGTGTAAGTTTTGTTTCTTTGCCCAGTTTTACTCTTTCATTAAGGTTTTTCAGTAATTCTAGCACCTACAACATTTTCACTTTGATGTAATTCTAGCACCTACAACATCTTCACTTTGATGTAATTCTAGCACCTACAACATCTTCACTTTGATATTGTAAATGATATTACACAACCTGAGCTAATAGCACCTACAACATCTTCATTTTGATGTTGTAAATGATACTACACAACCTGAGCTAATAGCACCTACAACATCTTCACTTTGATAAACATCAAAGTGAAGATGTTGTAGGTGCTATTAGCTCAGGTTGTGTAGTATCATTTACAATATCAAAGTGAAGATGTTGTAGGTGCTATTAGCTCAGGTTGTGTAGTATCATTTACAATATCAAAGTGAAGATGTTGTAGGTGCTATTAGCTCAGGTTGTGTAGTATCATTTACAATATCAAAGTGAAGATGTTGTAGGTGCTATTAGCTCAGGTTGTGTAGTATCATTTACAATTAGCTCAGGTTGTGTAGTATCATTTACCCATCATAACCAGGTGAGAAGAGTATTGTTGAACTAAATAATTGTCTCAGCTAGGTAAATTACAGGAATGTTACTTCTTTACTGTACTTTAACAACCACACAAACCATCCTATTTAAATTAATTAATGTAAATTTGAATTATTGTCTTTACCATATGTTTCACATGTATCATTTAGTCATTTTTTTTCAAATGTGTTACAATCTTTACCATATGTTTCACATGTATCATTTAGTCATTTTTTTTCA